TGTCTTAAAACGGGACTTCCGACCTGACGCCCGTGAAGGGAAGCTGGCACCAAAATGGAAAGGCCCATATCGAGTCCGAGAGATGGTAGGACCCAGCACGTTCAAGTTGGAACATATTGATGGCCGTGCGGTGAAACGAACATGGAATGCCCAAAACCTGCGATCTTACTCGGCGGGCACCACATCTGAAAACGACGCCTCGATTTGAGATGGAGCTCTGAAAGTGTTTGTTTTGTGTTAAGACAAGTATGTAGGTCTGTTTGTGTTGTGACCAAAGCGCCCGAAAAACAGCGCCGTATTGTGACTAAAGCGCCCATTCTATAGCGCCCCAATAGTGATTTTGTGTTCGGTTTACTGAGTTAACTAAAGCGCCACATTTCGCGCCCATATTGTGCAAAGCGCCCTAACATTGCGCCCTCATGAAAAACGTAAACGCGCCCAACTTTGCGCCCGAAACCACACAGTGGTCTCAAGTCATATGCCCATAAAAGCAGTTAAGTCGAAAGATGGCAAAAGTGAAGTCAAAAGATGGCAAAAGTGGTGCAGGAGTCTTTATAAAAATAAAATAAAATAAAATAAAAAACAGAGGTTCAAAGACAGAGTACAAATAATACAACTGTTAAAGAAAGGCGCCTAAACCCTACTCCGCCCCTGAGTTGGCATCTTTCGCACCGGGCGCCTTCTGAGAAGGAGATGCTTGCACCGACGCCCCGGGCGTCCCTCCCGTACCGCGGGGAGTCTCCAGGCTCCCAATCACATACTCGGCCATCTCCGAGAGATCCCAAGTATGTTCGGGATGATCCTGCTGCAGCTTCACCTTCAGAACTTCAAGCCCAGTCAGGATGGCATTGGCGCACATCCCCTTACCAGTCTCCGACTCCTCAAAGTTGTCCAAGGAACGCCTCAAGTCGGAAATTTCTTCGCGTGCTGCTTTCAAGGATTTTTTAGTCTCCTTGTGGGCGTCCTTCAACCTTTTCTTCTCCTCTTTGAGGATGTCGATCTCACTGGCTTGGGCGCTTACCTCCTGCGCCAACGCCTCCTTTTCAGCGTGAAGGTTGGCCAGCTTCCTCTGCTCCTCGTCCAGGGCGCCCTGAAGCCGCGACACCTCCAAGGTCGCCGTCATCTGGGCGTCCTCGCACTCTTCCGCAAACTGCTCGCGGCATGCAGTTGCGTTCTCCAAGTCCAGCTTCAGCTGGGAGGCAGAAGAAGACGCCTCCAGCGCCTCCCGCTTGGTGTCGTTGAGGCGTCGGGCGCCTTTTTCAGCAAAGAGCAGGATCTGCAACAGTTAGAAAGAAGTCAGCGAGTTGTAACAAATACCAAACCATTCCCTTAACTTTCAGAAAACAGAAGTAAGAAAGCGTTCACCTTGGCGCCCACTTGGGCCAGCTCAGCAAAGAGGTGATCACCGTTCACCTCGGACGGCACCTGCCATGACTTGGCAGCCGCAATAGCCAAGCCCATGGCGCACCCTCGGTCGACTGCCACCAAGGGGGAACAGTTCATGTTGACGCGCCCCACATCGGCACGCCGGGGGTCGGAAAATGGGTGGACGCCCATCGGGGCCAACGTAGCGCCCCTCTTCGTTGAGGTGTAAATGGGCGTCCTCCCCCGGCTCCACCTCCACCTCCACCTCTTCGTAGGCGTCATCGTCGACGCCCACTTTCCTCTTGCCTCTATTGGCCCTCTTGCTGGCCGAGGCTAAAGGGGAACCAGCCCTCTTCCCCCCCCCCCCCTTTCGGAGCAGCGGCTCCTCTTCTTCTTCCTCAGCGGAGTTGACCTCTTGCTCCGCAGGGTCGGAGTTAGGCGCCCCCTCGCCTTCCTCCGGGGCAGAAGACGCCACGCTGGCAGTCTTCGCACGGGCGGTGCCCCCCTTCACGTCCATCTTCTTCTTCTTCTTCGGGGGAACAGTAGGCGCCCCCGATTGGTCAGCGGCCGGTCCGGGCGCCTCTGGTTGAACCGGCGGCTGTGAACCTGCTGCCAGCGCAGCAAGCCGACTTCTCATCAGCTTGGCGATACTGGCGTAGTCCGCCCCTGCGCAATGGAGTGAACATGGTTAGTTAAAACACAAGGAAAACACAACATCAAAAGCAAGTAAATCCTAGGCGCCTACAGACCATCATTATAGTACGCCTGAATTATGGGAGGACGATTCTCCGCTGGACGTAAGTCCACACTTTCCCCCGCACAAATCAGGCGGGCGTCATCTTTCTCCGCCGGAGACAATGATACGGGCGAATTGAATCGCTCAACATCGCCCAACTGCCACTGCCTAAGAAAGGCGCCCCCACTCTCGTAAAACGAATCTTGATACGCCTTCATAACAAAGAAGCCGTTGAACCATTTTCGGTTGAGTTTGGGGCATCGTTTCACGAAATGGTTCGGGCGCTTCTTTCGCTTCTGAAGCGATAAACAGTTGTCGAGGGGCGCCATCTTGAAAAAGTACCTAAACAAATTGAAGGTGGGCTCCACGTTATTCTCCCGACACCTCAACTTGAAGAGGATCACGATAGTAATGACGGAGGGGGATAGGCGTCCCAATGAACAGCCACAAGTTGTCAGAATCCCCTCCATGATGTGGTCGAGGGGGAAATGCAGCCCAAACCGGAAGTACTCCTGGTACACCCGGATCCATTTGGGCCCGCAGACGCCCACACATGAGATAGGTGAAGGAGGCGCATACCACCAGTCCCGCGGCAGCTGCAGACTTGTAACAAGTTCGTGGACGCGCGCCAACGTAACTGATGACTGATGATTCGGCCCGGCCACATCGAATGGCAAATGGGCCGTCTCCGTCGGTAGGTGGTCCGTGGGGAAGCATTTCTCCCAAGTTGTGATTTTATACGATCCATCCGCTGGCATAAATCCGGGCGCCGATGATGTGGATGGTCCGGCCGACGTCGATGCAGGCGCACACTCTAAACCAACAAACGATCCAGGCGCAACGGGGACGAGGGGTAAGTGGCGCCCTATCCTAAGTAACTAGAATTAACTAAGCAAAAATAAGGAAAGACAAAGGATTTCTTACCGCCTTGAGTCGGACGCCTTTGCCCGCCACCGACGCCAGAGGCGCCTGCGCCTGAAGCACCAGACGCACCTGCATCCTGGGCGCCTTGATCGGCAGTTTTATCTTTTGGTGAGGACGACATGATGGACGAATACGAGAGTCGAGGATGACGCAAGCAAAGTCTGACAGGAGAGAGGACAGAGCGAAGCGTAGAGTGATGTCAGAACGAAATCTAGAGAGAGGTCAAATGGAAGAAAGTGACAAGAAGGGAAGAAGGAGGAGGTATTTATAGGAGGCGACAAGTCCAGGTCAAGGGTCGCGCCAACATGCCACGTGTCAGTGTCACGGGCCGACTTTTGAGCTTCCCCCACTTTCCCCTCCCCGGAACTTTCGAAATTTCCCGTTTCAAATTTTTCAAATCTTCGTATTTGAAATTTCGAATTTTCCCGCCACGCGAAATGTGGGGTTCATTTCAAAACTCTCCCAGTGAGGGGGGCATAAGGGCAAGGGACGCCCGACGGAGAGTACCATCAAAAGGCGCCCACGAAGCACGAAGAAGAAATGCACATAGCGAGGGGCATCATCGAGAACGGGACGCCCGCCAGTGGAAGGAATGGGCAACAGCGCCCCCGAGCCGGAAGAAGAGACAGAGACGCCACATGGGCGCCTGGCAGTGGGCGCCCCACAACATGAGGAACACCAAAACCGCAACAAGAGAGTCAGCTAGGCGCTCAAAGGTGAAACCATGAGCACCTAACTGGGGGGGCAATTGTTGGGGGTAGAATGAGCGGTCTTGGGGACTTGGGCTCACAGAATTAAGGAATTGGGGGGCAAGGCCCGAAAAAGGATCCACCAGAAGCCCTTGGGCCAAGAGATAAGGGGAAGGGCCCAAAGAATAAAGCACTAAAAGCCAAAAGGAAACCAGCTGTCGGGGGGACCATTACCTACGGGCGCCTGTCGTGTGTCAGGAGCCTGACAAGGCTGTTGGATGTCTCACAATGGGGACGCAGAGCATTACATGAGGGCAGTGACGTGGAGGAGATCAACCTCGGGTTCGGTGAGTATAAATAGGGGCAGTTGATAGCATTTATACAGGTTGGTCTCTCTCTCTCACTAAAACAGTACTTGAGAACTCTATTCACTCCGAGAAACTAACTTGGGCGTCGGAGGACTAACGGGCCGAGGCGCCCTCCTCTTTGTGTGTGTAGGACGACGCCAGGCGAAGAGAGACGCCCGAACTGAGAAGGGGGTATAGTGGCTCAAACAGTCGTCACTTCCCGTCCCGTTCTTGGGAGCTTCCTGTCGGTGTAGTCCCCATCCCCGTAGAGCTCACCACTCGACATCGTCATCGTCTGTCTCACCTACTCCAGCGCGTCTCCCCGACTCCAACGCATCTCCCCTGCTCCGGCCGTTTCTCCTCCGCACCATCTCCCACCGACGGTCTTTACTCTTCAGCTCCCACCGACCGTCTCTACTCCAGCGCATCTCCCACCAGCAGTCTCACCTCCGCATCATCTCCCACCGGTCTCTGCTTTGCTCGACACAAGGTGAATTAATTGACTAATTGTGCGGCTGCTTCCAATAATTCATAATATTAATTTAACATTGAACCAGGAAGTCATTGATTCAATTGACATTTTATTTTAATGTATGATTTGGTAGAGAATCAACCTACTGCTTCCACTGATTCAATTAATCTTTTGTAGATGAGTAATTTAGTCATGTTTTACCATGATTAAGAAGTGTCTACCATTTATACTTATTGTTTATTAGATTTCGGTTCTCTAACGGTTTTTAAACGGTCTAATGTCGGTTGTACCGCTAAAGACCGAGTCATTCACATTATCGGGTCGTATTCCGATTCACTTTTGACGACATCCGAAGAACGGCAAGTGCTTTTGAGTCGTGTCGTGTGACACTGTTTTTGTCCATGAACTCAGATCCTTTGGGCCGTTTTGTCGCAGATGTGGGTTCCCCGAAAACGAAGCCAGCCCAAGTAGCGAGCCCAGTTTAAATGGGTCAGTCCAAAATAACAAGAAGATCCATATCGGAAAAGGAAAATGCAAAAGAACGGCGAGCCTGACTTTTATTTTTATCCCCGATGGCTAGCAAATGAAATTTTATCGCCAACCAAACACACCCAAAAGGATTTTCCAGATTTCTAAAATTCAAGCCATTAGAACCGAAAAAAACAGTTTCAGTTTACCGCACAATCATTGCCTAGAGCAAGGAGCTCCCCGCTTGACTTCACTCAGCATTGAGTTGCTGGTTCGCGAGAGCTTAATTTGACTCTTTTTGGGGGTAATGGGTCGTTCTCGCGGGAATTTCCAATCTGCGGATGAAGACCCCACCCAGAGGTTTGCTTCTACTCCTTCTCCGCTGCAAATTTATCTGGGAAATTGCTTCCCCTTTCCTGCCTGCTTCAATTTTTGCACTCAAAGGTTTGAGCTTTGCTTCGGGGTTCAACCCTGGTGCCAACAATCATACAGAAAATGTTTGGCCTTTGCTTTCGTTCTGATTCGGTGTGGAAATGCAATTGTAGCTTCAAATGATTTAGTTGGAAGGAGTAGGGAATTCGTGAAATGGGTTTGTGTGTAATTGTGGAAGTTGAAGCTGATGTAATGAACTTGCTTGACTATTGTTGCAATGTAACTGCACCTACCTTGCTTCTATGTTGAACTTGTTAGAATTGGCTTTCGTTTGCTCAACTGTGAATTTGTGATGTATTATGGGTCTCCATTTGGTTTTCTGTTCTTCCCCTTTATTCATTATGGGAAAATATGTGGTCTTTTACCTTAATGCGTCGCCTCTTGAGTTTTCTACGGTTTCTGTGCAGATCAAGGAGGAAAAAGAATGCTTCTACTGGTGAGAATCTAGAATCCACCTCTGCAGGTATATAATCATCACTGCATAGCAGTGTGATAACAAGGTGAACAAATACAACCAACGACTCAGAATTGGGGGGAGGGGGAGGTGGGGGTGGGAGAAGTTATCATGATTCTTACATAACATGTCCAAGTTAAAACTATGACTATATATCCAAGTTGATCTAAGGAGCTTACCAGCATTGCTCGTGCAAATTTTTGCAACCTTGGGATTCCCTAATGAGGGGGTTCAAGAACGTATTTTGTTTGAGTATGGTTGCTTAGCTTATGCTGGTGTAATACATATCCTTTTTCGGGGTCCGGTTGGGAGCTATTGATGGTAATGTGAATCATTATGTTTGTTTTTTCCTTGATATGCATTTCCTTTTAGCTTATCTATACCTTTTTCCGTATCCCATTTGGGGATCAGGGCAAGGTGCTGGTGATGGGAAGAAGGCCTTGTACCATTGTAACTACTGCAACAAAGACATAACCGGGAAGATCCGTATCAAGTGTGCTATGTGCCCTGATTTCGATCTATGTATAGAGTGCTTCTCTGTTGGAGCTGAGATGCAACCTCATAAGAGCAGTCACCCTTATAGGGTTATGGTTAGTGATAACAAGTTTCTTAGCAACAAATGACTATATATCATATGCTGCTCTTAAACTTAATCCCACTGGTTTTCCTTATACAATAATGAGGACAAAGGCATATTTTTGAACAAGTTAATTTTTAAATGCTGACCGTCTGCCATTCTGGATCAAACTACAGGATAATTTGTCTTTCCCACTTATTTGCCCTGACTGGAATGCTGATGATGAAATTCTGCTTCTGGAGGTTCAGTGTCAATTGAGTTTGCTCTTGTTTGATACCATTCTTGTATTTTAACTTTACTTTTATACGTTACTAATAACGTATGATCTCTGGTCCATGGGATTTACTCAAATATTAGGGGATTGAAATGTATGGCATGGGCAACTGGACTGAAATTGCTGAGCATGTAGGGACAAAGAGCAAAGACGTTTGCATTGAGCACTATAATAATGTTTATATGAACTCCCCATACTTCCCTCTTCCGGTATTGCCCATTTTGAATATTCTGAATTCTACTTCTTTAGTAGCATGTGTTACTTGATGCTGAACAATCTACTTTTGCAGGACATGTCTCATGTTGTTGGGAAGAATCGAAAGGAGCTTCTTGCTATGGCAAAAGGATCATCCATGCACGGGGAGCACATTTTGAAGGAAGATTCTCCATTTTCTCCATCCAGAGTCAAGTATGATTTATTTTCTTGTCTCTGTACTTGCATTACCTTTTAATCGGTTGCCCTGACTAATGCCACTTTTTCTTGTTCATTCAGAATCGAAGGTGGTTCCTCTGGCCGTTTACTGTCTCCATTAAACACTGGTGATTTAGTATACATGACAAACTAATCCTATTCTGTCTGAATCGTATTCAAACTCCTTGTGAATGAGATTAACTCTTCTAAACTGGTGCTCTTTCAGATATGGAATCAGGAGGGCGTCCTAATAATGCAAATGCATCAAAGACTGCTGTTAAAAAGGCATCTGGTATTGCCCGGGCTAAAGATAGCCCGAATAATGTTAAAGTCGAAGGTCTGAGTTGCTCTATTTGTGATTTTTGTTATACGGTAAAATGATGAGGATGCAGCTTTAGGATCAAGAAACAGTACTGTTGACTTATTAACTCTTATGCAGATCCTCATATAGAAAGGAGTTCCAAGGGAAAGAAACCAAATTGTCCAGTTGATGGTCCATCCCTACTTGATTTGAGTGGTTATAACACAAAAAGGCAAGAGTTTGACCCAGCATACGACAATGATGCTGAGCAGTTGCTCGCAGAGATGGAGTTCAAAGAGAATGACACTGAGGAGGAGCGTGAAATCAAGGTTCGGGTCTTGCGTATTTATGGGAAGAGGTAAAACATTATTATGCTCAGATAGAGTTCGAAGAAACTACTTGGTTTCTGCCGCTTATGTATAGTGTGTGCTTCAATTCAACAGTTGAGAGCTAGTTTTGATTGGCAGGCTTGATGAGAGGAAGCGGCGGAAGGATTTCATATTGGAGAGAAACTTACTGTATCCTAATCCTTTTGAGAAGGACTTATCTCCTGAGGAGAGGGCAATTTGTCGACGTTATGACATTTTCATGAGATTTCATTCAAAGGAAGAACACGAGGAACTGCTCCGGACAGTCATCACAGAGCACCGAACTCTCAGAAGAATTCAAGAACTCAAGGTACATTGCTCACCCTTGCCTTCAATTGAATCTAAATATCCCATTAAGCACATCGACATGAAATGATGTCGCAGGAAGCACGTGCTGCTGGCTGTCGGACTTCAATCGAGGCGGATCGATACCTTGACCACAAACGGAAAAGGGAAGCGGAAGATAGTTCTCGTCGGGTCAAAGAAGGCGGTCAGCTTGTTCCGAATGTCGTAATCGCTTCAGAATCAGTTGGCAAGGACTCACACTTGAAAGGGTCATCGAGCTATAATGTCAACGAGCTGGATATCACGGCGTTGTTTGACACCCAGTTGCTATCTGAAGCTGTAAGTTATCTAAGAACATGGATAATAGGGGTGTGCATGGTCTAGGGTGGTCCAGAATCACGTAGACTCAGCATAGGATCCGATAAAAAATGAAGGGAAAATGAGGTTCAGTTCAATTCACACCCCTAGATAACACACATGTTTATGGTTTTAGCTGGTTTGTGAAACTGCCTTGTTTGGATGCATTTTGACAGGAGAAGCGGTTATGCTACGAGATCAGGCTGCCACCACCTCTTTATCTGCAAATGCAAGAGGTGATGACAAAAGAGATCTTCGGTGGGAATGTTTCGAAGAAATCCGATGCTCATTCATTGTTCAAGATCGACGCCAACAAGGTGGATAGAGTGTATGATGTTCTTGTTAAGAAAGGGATAGCACAACCATGAAAATGGGGAATGAAAAAGAAGCAAATCACTTCATTTCATTCTTAAGTTCTGATTTCTTGTATTGTAATTTAGGCATAACATGATAGATATAGGCTAGAAATGAAACTTGGGTAGAGCTCAGTTCCTTTATGTAGCTGCAGATGGTTGCAACTCGGAATTACCTAAAGGGGTTCTGTATAATGCAACCATCCACTCTACCAAAAATGAGAAAGAAAGGCAAAAAGCACTGAACTATTTCTTTCACCATGGAGAAAGTACTGAAATCCTAACACAGCTTTTACAGTCAGAACCTGAGCTTTTGCACAAGTTAAACCTGTATAGAACCAAAATGTTATTTTGGTATATCACAAAACATAAGGCTAGTTTGAGGATAATTGGGAAACAGCTCCAACTGCTATAGTCTAAAACTTCCAATTACTTAGTGACGGGTTAACGCTAAACGTTATATATATGTTGATCTCAGAATGCTTTACTACAGTGCAACATGCTCTACTGTTATATACACCAACAGGGGCACACCAAACGTTCACCTATGATCAAAATTTCTACACTGTCAAGGGACTTAAGCAGCTTTGCTAACGAAGTTGTCTTTGTGATCCACTGCATCCTTACTCACACTAATCACCTCCAGATTCTGCATCTCATCCGACAGGGGTGAAGAACTTGGGAATCTTTCTCTCTCTTGTTCACTGGATACTGGAACAACCTTCTGCTCCAAATATCGAGCATCTCCACCAGAGTCAGAAGTCGAGTCTACCATTGCAGCCCATATTCAAAGATAGATAATCAACTATATCTGTCTTTGGCTTCACGTCAACCCATCTGTTCTCCACCCAGTCCCTGGAGATTCTGACATGCTTCCGACCAACACTCAGCGACCTGCCTTCACCTAATCATTAAATCCCAGTTTTTTCAATCAGCTAAATGAAAGTAGAAGGAATCTAGATGTAGAAAGGGTACTGCTTTCTTTCATATATATAGGTGACTACTTCGGTGCACTCACAAAAATGAGTGCGTTCAATGCACCCAACTCAAAAACTAGTCTTAATGTGTCGGATTTTGAATTTTAATTTGTAGAATTAGTGTAATATGATGATATAACATATGATAACAACTAATTAGCGGATTACCCTAAGCTCTAGACCTCCAATTTTGAGTTCTATCCCTAAATCCCAAATTATAAACCCTAACCCTAAATCTCTAAACTCTAAATCCTTCAAATTAAAGTAAATCTTTAATGATTTTTGTGCAAATTCATGTGCGTTATTATTCATCACATCATAAGTGATGATTGACATCATTTTAACATAAATCGCATGTTTAAAATAACGGTTATGAAGTGAGTGCACTGAATGCACCCAAAAAAGTGAGTGCACCGAAGACGCCACCATATAATATATATACCAGGTAAGTAAACTTGCAGACGGTCATTTCCAGCTGCAGAAACAACACCTTCCCACCAGCCGTCACACCACCATACATCAATTGGCGCTCCAACCTCAAAAGTAGAGTTCCTGAGATCAACAGGAGGAGGCGGGCGAACTGTTCGGCGGCCAACATGTCTTATACCCAACTTATCCGGAGCAGCCACTTTAGTAGCAGGGACCCATTCCTGTTGACAAAAACAAAAACAAGAAAAAGAAAATGACAGATCATTCCTAAGCCAATATCAGACATTCTACAAAGCCCGCATCAATGTCTGATCCAGATTATCATGTCAACTCACGAAAAAGTCAGTCAGATCATCTGATTGGTTACTGTAGGAAGGAATTATAGCAGCCTTGGGCAATGCGGTTGAAATTGGGTCAAGTAACAAGTTTGGCATGTGAGGATTGAAACGGGTTGTCCATGTCAGTTAATTAAGGTTTTTGACTTGTTTATTGTATGTGAATTGACACTCTAGTTTGGCCTTCACTTCTTGGAAAAATGACCTCCAGCACAGCGTCTTGAAACAATCCAATCCCTCATCTTCTGACTCAACGTGCCCTTGTGCCATCCAAAGGTGTACCAACCTTTGAACATCAAGGGCATCACCCTTCTTAAACAGTTTGCAGTAAGAAAAGCAGTGCTTAAGCTTTGTAGGAAGATGGTTGAAACTTAAACGAAGGGTTGACATGATATGGTTTTCCCCTTCAGATATGTTCGAGAGCTCGTCATCTAGAAACAACGGCCAGTCAGTTTTCGGATCTTTCGACCTCAACAGACCAGCAATTGTGCTTATAGCAAGAGGAACTCCACAACATTTCTTCAGTATTTCTCTCCCGGTTCTCTCAACATCCAGGCTCTGCTGAACTTCTCCATGAAGAGCCTTTCTCACCAGCAAATCCCAAGACTCGTCCGGCGACAAGCCTCCCAAGTAGTACGGCATCAACATTGTGCCACCTGTTTCAGACTTCATGATCTCACTACCAACCTCAGCCACTTTACTGGATCGAGTGGTCACCAATACCTTGCTCCCAATGGCACCAACCATCGAATACTTTGCCAAGTCTTCCCAGCCTCTAGCATTCTTCTCCCAGACATCATCCATTACAACCAAAAACCTTTTGGCTCTCATCTTCTCACGAAGCTTCTCCTGCAGAACAGCCAACTGAAGACCTGCTTGGCTCTCACCAGTCATGTATTGCAACATTTTTTCAAGAATCCCTTTGACATCAAAGCTCTGCGAGACATAGACCCAAACTCTTACTCCGAAGCATGCCTTAACTGCCTCGTCGTCGAACACGAGCTGAGCAACAGTAGTCTTCCCCAATCCGCCCATCCCAACAATTGGGACCACAGAGACATTAGCTTCTTCACCATCACTGTGCACTAGATGCCGAACGATTTCAGCTCTATCAGCTTCTCTCCCAACAACAATCATCGGTGGGCATGGGTCCGTCTCCAAAGGGACAGCTTGCTCCTCAGCAAGCTCCTCCAAGTGGAACTCCCTGTCATTCTTGATATCATCGAGTTTCTCTCGAATCGCCCTGATGGCGTGAGCCATCTCGTTCTCATATACAAGAATCGCTTCGGAAAAGAGACAATGAAACATACCACAGTCCAACAAGTCGTCGTCGTAGTGTCTGCTCGTGCAGCCCTCTCCCGACGAGTCTCAGTGGAAAAATCATCGAGCAAGTCATCAGCATCATACATCACATCCGAGAGCTTCTCGAGCCAAAGTTTGACTTGACGATTGTGGCCCTGCTTCTCTTCAGCATCACGGAGCACAGCCTGGATGGTGGAGACAGTGCCCTTGAGTTTCTCCAGCTCGTTTCTGAGAGACCATGCGAGTGCGATCTGGTCCAAAGCCAAGCTGCCTAGCTTCCCAAGGATTTCTTTTGCAACGGGGATCAAAATGGTTTCTGCCATTTCTTCAGGAGGACATCAACATTAAAGAAAGAGCCGATTTGGTCTTCGTGAGAGTGAATGGGGAAAGCATTGAACTTTTCACACCATTTGAAGTTGAAGTCTTAAACAGCAGCTGCAAGATGGGATCTCGATGATCTTGTCTTGACCCAAACAAGCATTTTATATTCTCTGGTCATTTTCAATGCTGGAGAATTTCTACACGAACAAGATATAGTTTAATATTAGCACATGGTGGAATTAAAGAAGTAAACAGCGTAAAAAAGAATCCAGCTTTGAAGTGACTTCATTCTGTAAATGCAGTAGAAACAACAAAGAGTCGGAGGAAGGAAGGGCTCAGATCCGGTGACAGAGTGAGAGAGGGAATCCCTGCAGCCGTGTTTAGGCTGCGAAATCGAGTTAGCTAACATGCTACTGAAATCGCCCCGCCAGGAAAACCGCCGTAGGACCCCGAAACCCTCGCCGGAGATCTCGTCACAGCCCCATTTACCGAAGAGGAGAAGAAGGAGCGGCGCGCTCATGTTTCATCGCTGTTCCGGCGAAGAAGAGAGAACACAGCTTCAAAAGATGAGAAATCAATCGAAGCTGGATGTTAAGGTTCTGGTGGTGGTGGTTGTGACGGCGATGACGGCGGAAGGAAGAGATCATCACAATATGCAATGGGTTTGTTTGTTTCCACTTCCCAGAGTGACGGTCGGAGAAATCATCGGCTCCGCAGCCGTTCAGAGAGTTAGGGTGGAAAAAGGGGAACCCTTTCCGCTTTCTCAGAGAGCAAAGCCTCATTCTTTGAATTAATTGATCGTCGACGTTTTTTCTCGCCGGCGGTCCGGAGTACTTATAGTAGGCTTGTTTTTTACCGGGGATTACAAGAATGCCCTTTTGGTTGTTCTTTGGTAGGGGTGGAGTTTTAGTTATCAGTTATCGGTTAACCGGCCGGTTATTCTCTAATCGAAAACCAAGATAAGCGAAATTCAGTCGATTTTCGAAGGTTGGACGAGATGGTTTTTTATCTTGGAGGTGGTTCGGTTAACCGAAAACCGAGATAACCGAAGCCTAAATCTCTATTTCTGTCGGTGTTCAATAGGAGTCCCTGGTTGTTCGGTTAACAGATAACCGATCGATCGCTTGCCGGTTATAACCGAACTAACCGAAACTCCACCCCTAGTCTTTGGGTGCTAGTGGACTTGTGATTAACAAGCATACAAACCATATTGCATATTGATGAAAAGTTGCAAAGCAACGTCACCTCGTGATCTAAATCCCGACTTTAAATGAGCTAGCTCAACTGCTAAGTAGTTAGCTTCACAGAAAATGTGAACAACTCAAATTTTTCACTATGTGGCCTACTATCATGTCATATCATGTCATATCTATAAACGCCAAGATAATAAAAGATGGAGGAAGACTCGTGGCATATCTGAAAACAATAGGATAATGTCGAAAGTGGACAAATTAGATCCAAACTATCTATCACTTACTCGTTTAATTGAATTACAACAAATAAGACTATTAATATGTGTCACCAATTGCTATTGTGTCTTAGGGGTCGTTTGAATTGAGTATTTGGGGGTGTTATTTGGGGTCAAATAACACAAAATCTGTTATTTGACCCCAAATAACATGTTTTGCCAAATAATAGGTTTGAGACCAAATAATACAAAAAGTGTTGTTTGCCAAATGCTTAGAAGGGGGCAGGTATTTGCCAAATAACAAGTTTGAGACCAAATATCACATACCAAATAACAGGTTTTATATTATGTGGTATTTAGGGCTGTCACCCGGTCGGTTTTGGTTTAACCGAAAACCGAAATCTCGGTTTTCGGTTAAACCGAGACCTGACCTGTCACCACCGGCCACCGACCGACCCTGGAAGCTCGGTTATCCGAAAACCGACCGGGCGGTTTCGGTTAAGGCACGGTTAAACCGGCGAAACCGAAAAAGGGAAGGGCGGTTCGGTCTGCTGGTCTAACCGACCGAAGACCGCCAACAACCGACCGGTCGACCTAGCTCCTTCAAATTTCAATCGTCTCTACCCTTCTTCCTCCCCCTCTCAAAACTGACTTCTACTTTCCCAAATCCGAAAATTGAACAAAAACCCAACCAAAAAAATACGAATCCCCTTTCTCTCTCTCGCCTCTCTCTCTTGCTCTCACGTTCTAGTGGCGGCGAGGAAAAAGTAAAGAAGATTCAAGCGACGGCGAGGAAGGAGAACCGCCGGCGACTGATTCCGGCTGCAACGACGATGGCGGAGACGAATGTAAAGGTCGTTTTTAGGCTTGCATGTTCGATTCAAATGCTCGATCTAGTTGTTTTTTAGGGTTCTGATCTTGTTTTATTTTCTTTTTATTAGGTTTTGTTGTGAATTGGGTAAACTTTTGGGTTCTGAACCCTTTGATTTTGTTTCGTTTTGGGTTTGTTCTCAATCGAGGGAAGGGAGAACGAGGTCGCCGCGGTGCAGAGATGGACGAATCAAGGTAATTTTGGGTTGCATGTTTATCTTTGGCGGAGGGTCAGAGGGGGTCGCGATGTCGAGGTGGCTGCGCGACTCGGAGGCTGGGACTCGGAGTCGGAGGTTAGGTCGAAGAGGATGGACGATGGAGGCTGCGAAGGCCGAAGGTGGAGGCGGCGGAGGGTCGGAGGGGGTTGCGACGTCGAGGTGGCTGCGCGACTCGAAGAGGATGAACGATGGTGGAGGACTGGAGGGCTGGAGGCTGCGAATGGATGCTGCGACGGCCGAAGACGAAGAGGGCCTAGGGTTGGGTTGTGTTTTAGGCTTAGCCAAAACGACGTCGTATCATCGGTCGGTTAGAGTCGGTTAGCCGGTTAACCGGCTTCGGTTACTCGACTAACCGTCTAACCCTATTGCGTTTCCGCCAACCGACCGATGAATATAAATCCCGGTTTCAGGTTAGCCGAAAACCGGCCGGTTCGGTCGAAACCGGCCGGTTAGCCGCTAACCGGAAAACCGATTGACAGCCCTAGTGGTATTTGTGTGGTAATTGGCCCCAAGCAACAAGTTTGTCAAATACTCAATCCAAACGACCCAAGCTAAACGGACTCTATTAGCATGCTGACTTAACAATTATCTTTGTTTTATTGAATAACTTCATTTGATTTTTGGACATATAATATAAGGAGCACTTCTACTATAAGTATTTTGTTGAGTTTTATAGTTTAGTGACAAATCAACCATTCTTAAATCCCTTCGTTTGACAACAAATCAACTCCTTATCTTTTGTTAGATAACTTTTATCAAGGTTTGAACACAAGCATCTTGTTGAATTCCCTAATTTTGACAACAAATCAACTCTTACTGAATTCCTTAATTTGATAACAAATCAACACTTCTCATACGTCAACGAGCTGAAATCTTACAGCAAAGCACTGCGAAAATCATCCGATCAAAAAACATCCAACAATTTTAGTTAAAATCAAACTCAGACCACCTTATCCCAAAAGGAAATGTTCAAAACTACTAGTTCACCAGATAAGACTTCAAATTTCAATTCATCCACACCATATGAAACCCCTGGAATCACTCTTAACCCATAAAAGGGCACCAACAAGTAACAACCAAATCACCATATGTTAACCCCCCACATGCGATCTAATCTACAAATATTAGTGCACCAATCTATTTATCCTTCTTTTCAACAGTCTCTTAATCACCATAATCACTTGATTAGAGAAACTCTATAGCTTTAATCATGATGATAATCAGAGGATTAGACCTGTTTCTCACCGCCATGTTGATCCTCTACCATGTTTCATGTCGAGGCCGCCAATGCCGATCTAGTAAGTATTGCTCGAAGGCTACTCATTGGCCAATCGGGTGGCGCAGGTAAAAAAGAATGCTCGAAAGGCGACATAGCGATATTCCAAGCACAAATGGAGCCGCAACCCAACGGGATCCTGTTATAAACGCGCTGCTACGGATAGGGAAATCGCCGGTATCGATAAAGCAATAATACGAAAGCGAGAATCGAAAACACGACACACGATTTACGTGGTTCACTAACACGATGTGTGTTAGCTACGTCCACGGGCGAGAGAGAGAGCCATTTTCACTATATCGAGGAGATTACAGATTACAGAGGAGTATGAGAAGTATTTATAGTACTTCTCCATGTGGGTCTAAACCTAATCCAATCTGGCAAAGGAAACGGTTACATACCAGGCCCAGAACCCGAACCCAAATCATATTGAGCCCATACACCGTGGGCTGGGGGCATTTCCCCTGGACCCCACTCGCTGACCGGTTAGCGAGACCCTCGACTACCAGTCGTAGCGGCTGATAGTCCGATTCAAGTCACATCAACAAATCTCCACTTTGACTTGAATCCTCTTCCTCTGAAATCTCTGATGTACTCTGCTCCTTCTCTCTCTCTCCCGCCATCAATGCCCCGCAGAGTGGAGTCACCCACTCAAGACATTCAGCAAGTCCAAGCAGTGTTGGAACTTGCCATGTGGAACCGGCTTCGTGAACATATCAGCAGGATTATTTGCGGTGCCAACCTTCTTCACCTTAATCCTCTTCTCTGTCCTCAAGAAATGATACCTCACGTCGATGTGCTTAGTCCTCTCATGGTGGACTTGATCCTTGGCCAAGCATATTGCACTCAAACTATCGCAATACAC